TGCCTGTATATTAATGGTGTAGACATTCAGACCCAAATTCATTTTTCAGCCCTATGCAAAGTTCTAAAGTGATTTTTTTTTGGTTTGGGCCCTATTCCGTGAAAAAGAAGTCCCTCTTTCAATGTCTTTAAGTTTTAAGATATTTATTAGATCATTTCTATATTAATTGTTGTGATATATTAAGATAAATATACTGAACTTTAAGAGTTTCAATATATAATCATATTATAGCTATAAATAATTTATGTATATATAGTTCTGTATTTATAAAATAGAAACTGAGTCTTTAATTCATCTCTGTGTGTTTCATTGAAACTGTTGCCACCGTAATTTTGTAGAAATAGTTATTATTATTAGTGATAGTATATTCACTTTACTGTCAGTTCATTTTTATAAACAGCCTTTCATTTTGTGGTTACAAGATTATGAGAGAGATTCTCTGTTATAGCAGGCAATGATTTATCTTTCAAAATAGATCTATCAACAGTGGGAAGCTACACACAGTTAAAAAATAAATCTTGTCTATATTTAGCCTCCTATGCTACACAGAACTGAAGGGCCTGCTAATTTAAGCATATGATTTAGTTCATTCCTATTCAGAATAGTAGTTAACACTGTTCAGTGAAGTCAGTTGGACCTTATCACATACTTTGTTAATCGGTTCTCGGCCTCTTGTGGACTAAGATCAAGTGCTGTACTTAAGATCTGTTGTGAAACTGAGATTGGCCAAAGTATGTGGTTAAGTGCTTTCTTGAACCTGGGTTATAACAAATGTACCTTGCAATAATGTATTTAAAATATATTTACTTATTTAAATCTAGCATACTGTAAAGGCAACAATGATTTTATGGGGGTTTTTTTCCTAAACACACCTTTAGTATTATGAAATCATGTTGTGAAAGGAATTTACAAAAAAAGAGAAACTGCCTCAAAAATAGGTTGATTACTGAAAATATGAAACATATGGGTTTTCTGGAGTAATTTATAATACATAAGTACATTCATTTACATTTTATAACTCACAAAATCCATTTACTGAAACCCAAATCAACATGTTTTGCTCAGTGCCAGAATTCAGACTTTGGAAAAATAATTCTACTGAGCTAATGTATGTGGATATTATCCAAACACATTGTCATCCTGCCGTGCCTTATTCCTCACACTTCTTGGAAATGGCATAAGGACCTAGAATTGATCAGATGTTTGATGTTGTAGCCTGTCCATATGGGTTTTTACTATAAAAGCATGTTGGGCTAAACAATCTTCTTCAAGCAAGTACAAGAAGGATGAAGCATTTCGAAAGTATCCAGGGCAAAAATTAATAAGCAGGCAGAACTTGAAGTGAGCTGCAAAGTTTAGAAGGTATTTGTGCAAAGTACCTTTCTGTCTAAAACAATAAACTTTTTCTGTGGATAAAAAGTAAGATTTCCATTTCTTCAGAGGCAGTTCTTGGCACCTTCATTTAACACCCAAACTGCAGAAATTCTTTTTCTTATCACCTCCTTATACACAAATGTTCCCAGAGAAACTTGCAGGTTTGTTTTCTATCCGCCAGTGCTTTCTAGGGGCCACAAAAATATTTAGGGGCCAACTCTACTCCTATTTCTTTTCCGCCCCCAGTCCTACTGCTATCTTGGGTGGGACACAGCAAAAGACACGGAGTGAAGAGGATGGTGGGAGGAAGCCTAATTCTACCTCTGCCCTCTTTGGTTGCTGAGTGCCACTGCTGCTATTAACAGTCATCACATCCACCTTCAACACATAGGGAGCATAAGTTGCCTAGTTTGTACATAGGTAGGGAGGAACTCCTTCACCCACCTTTCCTTGCTTAACCATGTGAGGGTGACTAGAATCTGCTCTGAATATGCAATGTATTAGGGTCACAGTTTTCAAATTTAGACACTGAAGTTAAGCTTCTGGTTCCAAATTTGGACTCCTAATAATGTATCCCAGTTTTCAAAGATGATTAGCAGTCTTTAAAAGGAGCATTGAGCACATCTGAAAAACAGACAACTTCTCTAGGGGCTGAACTATAGCACCCATATTTTTAAATACTGACCTTACGTCTAGTTAATCGAAGAGACCATTTTTCCTATAATTCATTGTTCCATGTGAAAACAGATCCATCTAGCTGTAAATGTGTTCCCTGGTGATATTTTCTTTCATTGTTTGATTCATTAAATCCAAAATATGTGCTTCAGAGTTTCCAAAAACAAGCATACATCAGTCTAATTATAATTTCGCTGTTACTTTTTAGAATAATTCTTTACTAAAAATTATAAATTAATGTAATGATTAAATCCACTGACTTATGATGTTTATTTTCTTATATTTTAATCTACTTCACCATTTAGTAAAATGTTAAAATTACCTACAATACATGGAATGGGAAATATATACACTTATTTATCATTATATGTTTGTGGTTAGAAAAGCAACTGTACTGAGATGACATCTTCTTGTCTATCCTTACCTTGCTTTCCTGTGCATTATTTAACTTTGTTAGCTTTATGGACTAACAATAAAGTTTTATACTCTTTATCAAAGCAAGGCTACCTAAGTTCTAGAAGAAAGAGCTAGATTTTATTTGCTTTGTATCCATCAACAAAATTGTCTAGTAACTTACAACAAAAGCAACTGAAAGAATAATACTTTCAATATGTCAATAGTATTTATGCAACTGCCAGGTAGGAAAAGTGGGCCAACCTTGATCCTGTTGAAGTACTTGCAGGAGTTGACCTATCTTTTATTGTAAACTATTCATATTTTTAGCCAGATTTTTGTTTGCTGGCTTTGGTGTAATTTGTTTGAAACTGATGGATTGTCATTGGTGTAAAACCACAGTAAGTGAAAGGAGAATTGGAACCCTGCTCTTGAGGTCTATGACAGAAACTAAGGCTATAGACAGATATTTCTGCCAAGAGAAAAAGCCTTTCTCTGCACAAAAAGAACAGTGTACATCTAGTCAAGGGCCCATTGCAGAAGAGAACTGGCTTCCAAACAAGAAGGTCTCTCTCCTCCTGAACTTGAATGGTTCTATGCTTCTTTCAGGTGGTAAAGACCACCTATATCCCACAGTCCACTGCTGTCCCTCCAAGTGAGAGGGAGGGAGAGCACTGGCTTCCTGATAGCCTGCCCATAGGCCAGCTGTCAAGGAGCCCTGTGGAGACTCTGCTGTTGGTGTCAGGGCCCCAGCCCCTGACCAGACTTGGGGGCTGTGTAGCATGTGGGAGGGGACATTCCTCCAACCTGAAATTCTCCCTCTGAGAAGGTTCAAGCTTTGGACTGAGGATCCAGCCTGTGCATGGGCAGAAGGGCATTTCTCCGTAGCTGGACCCATTCCATTCTCCACTGTCTCCCTCCTCCTGCGCAGCTCTAGGAGATGCAGAGCTGTTCAGAGGGTGAGAAGGATTCCCCCACTGTTGGACCCATGCCCTGGCCTGTCTTCTATAGAGGCTGAGGGGAATGAAGGAGCATCTTCCTTTTGCCCCCTTACTGGAGAACTGCCTGTAAGGTGACTTGGTTGGTCTCCAGCCAGAAGGCAGGAACAGCTATGCTATCCGTTTCTCACCAGTGCTGGAATTGGATGCCTGTCTATACTGTCAGCATGGAACCTACAAATGTCAGTTTATCAGACTATAAATGTGCTCTAAGGGGCAACTTTTCAGGACTGAGGCTTGCCTCTGAGTAGCTGCGCCATTGAAAATACTTGGGGAAGAGTCTAACAGACCTTCTTACGTTTTTTCTTTACTCTTTTAGGTCCTTCAAATCATCACAGCCAGTCAACACTAAGACCACCACTTCCTCCTCCTCACAATCATACACTGTCCCATCATCACTCCTCTGCCAACTCCCTAAACAGGAACTCACTCACAAATCGGCGGAACCAGATCCATGCACCAGCTCCTGCACCAAATGACCTGGCCACCACTCCTGAGTCTGTGCAACTTCAAGATAGCTGGGTGCTCAATAGCAACGTGCCACTGGAGACTAGGTAGGTCACAGTATGATTGCATTTAGAACACACCTTTGGTTTCAGTTGCCTGAATGATACTTGGAATAAACTTGGATAATTGAGGTATCTTACAATTGTGGAATTTTACAGGGTAGATGCAGGGAAATCTGTTTCAAATAGCAGTTTTGGTAGTTAAGAGGTGGACAGTCAAGGCAGGTTTGTTCTCAGGTTACTGTAATACTACACAAGCATGTGTTAAAGCAACTGCTTGGGGAAAAATATATCTGGAAATACAAAAGAATTTGGCTCAAAAGAAGGAGATGTATTTTATTGACTTTATGTCAATGTATCTTTTACCTAATGTGATGTAAATGGAAGTTATTTTAAACCAAAATATCTAAGATGCTTATGCATTTATCATTGAGAGATGGACAGTTAGACATCTCTTTGTTCATGTGCTATGTTTTAATGCTTGTTTATTCATTCAGATGGCTCTTGTGTACACAACTAATAGAATTAGCATAACATATTTTTACTCCAAGACTCAGGGGAAACTTGCTTATAAGGGTATATTGACTGAGTATCACTGATAAATTATGCATTCGGTCTTTCCTGAAGTAATAAATGAAGACTCATTTGAAATTAAGCGTTTTGGGAGACCTAGAGAAACAATCTTTGATTCAAGACTGACAGAGCTATAATTTTAATTTATATTTCATCCAACATGCAGATTCACTGTAATCCCTCCTGTACATGCTAACAGCTTTGTGCCTGTGAGGGGACTAGTTATATATAAACTAAAAAAGTACATTATTCTGGAATAGAATCATTTGCAGAAATGATAGATAGATAAGTAAATAGATAGGTTAGTAGATAGCTTTCTGGGATGAAGCATTTCTGAATATTCTGTTTCATTATCATTTGTGGATGGGAAGTTAATCTTATTGTTACCCTGTGCTTTCAATATCAAAGGACGCTGGCAAAGCTGATCTGCCTAAGACTAGAACTAGTGATTATGGTGATGTCTGCAGGACCGTGTATACTCCCATTGTTCTGTTTTCTTGGTCCATTCTTTTGAGCAGATGGGGAATCAAGATATATAAGATTTTTGTGAGCATATCCAAGAGCAAGAATCTGGTGTATGTCTTTGCTCTTTGTCCCCAAGAATGGAGCAGAAAGTTATTAACTTTAGGGAGTGAATGAGTATTCACTGCACCTGCTCTTTAAGCCTCCTACACCTAAACTAGGAGCATGCAGCAGTTCACTGCTCCTTGCAGCAGTATGTACGTGCTGTGATGAAGAAGACTATGTGAGCTGGATTCTAGTCTGCAGTTCCAGTGGGGAGCACTTTAGGAACTCAGCATGAGCAGGCTTTACTCTAAATAATGCCTGTAAATATTTCTCTGTGCAAGACATCTATATGCTCTTTTCACCCCAGGAGAAGATGGCAGTCTGGGCCTGGCAGCAGTGCCCAGAAACAGCCCCCCTTAATTGGTTCCCCCTGACTTAATGTTTCATTGTATTGGGTGACTGTTGTGCCCAGGTTAGGATTATAGTTTTATAACTTTTTATTTGCAAGTGTAGCTGTTGACTAAAGGAAAATGAGTGAAGCTCTGAGAAAGCTGAAGAGAGAAGGTTCCAGGGTGCGCAGAGGGAAGTCTGAGTGCGGACAGAAGAAGCTGGAATGGCACAACAAAGACTGTTTGTTTTGATGCAATGTCTGCTGTGCTGCTTGTGACATCCAGCACTCTGATAACCCTCTTCTTTTAAAGAAGAAAACACCCACCCTCCTTTCCAAGACCTGACCAAAAAGAAGGCGCTCCCACAGGTGGGGGTGCTATGTTTCACCAGAGAAGCCAGGGACTGAGAAGACCCACGCTCTCAAAGTCAGAGGCTTGCCTATTCTGAATCCATGCTGGCTGCAAGGGGTCCTCCCAGAAAAGGGACTGAATGAAGCTGCTTCTTGGGGGAGTCCCAACAAAGAGCTTTTCATTTCCCCTCCAAAAAAGGGAAAGACGATATTTTTTTCTTTTTCTTGACACCTGCATTCATCACTTCTGGGAGCTGCACAGGCAAATTGGTATATGAAACTCAGAGTGAGGGGAAAAGTCAGGAGGGGTCAGGACATGAGTGCATACAGGTGTTCACAAGATCAGGTTAACCCTTTTATAAATTGTGTTAACCCAATCTCAGTGTAAGCTAGTGTACCTACTCAGGTGAACTAACTTAGATTGGGTACGCCATTTTTTGCTGGATTTACCCCCTCCCTAAATGTCTGCATGAATGGGCATTTAAATCAACTTAACCCTCGTTAAGTCAATCTAAATATAGTGACTCTACATACTCAAGAATTCAAGAAGGACAAAGCACAATTGGAGTTGCAGCTAACAAGGAATGTGAAGGATAACAAGAAGGGTTGCTACAAGTATGTCGGCAGTAGGAGGAGGATTAGGGAGGTGTGGGTCCCTTACTGAATGGGGGAGGCAACCTTGTGACAGAGGATGCAGAAAAGGCTGAAGTACTCAATGCCTTTTTTGCCTCCATCTTCACAGGCAAGGGCAGCTCCAAGACTACTACACTGGGCAGCACAGTTTGGGGAGGAAGTGAGCAGCCTTCAGTGGTCAAAGAACAGGTTAGGGACTACTTGGAAAAGCTGGACGTGAACAAGTCCATGGGGCAGGATGGGATGCACTCAAGGGTGCTGAGGGAGTCAGCTGATATGATTGCAGAGCAATTGGCCATCATCTTTGAAAACTCATGGTGATCAGGAGAGGTCCCAGATGATTGGAAAGGACAAACGTAGTGCCCATATTTAAGAAAGGGAAGAAGGAGGATCCAGGGAACTACAGACCAGTCAGCTTCACCTCAGTCCCTAGCAAAATCATGGAACAGATCCACAAGGAATCTATTTTTAAGCACTTGGAAGAGGAAAAGGTCATTAGGAACAGTCAGCATGTATTCGCCAAGGGCAAGTCATGCCTGACCAACCCAATTGCCTTCTATGATTAGGTGACTTGCTCTGTGGATGTGGGGAGACTGGTGGCTGTGGTGGACCTTGATTTTAGCAAGGCTTTTGATATGGTCTCCCACAACATTCTTACAGGTGAGATAAGGAAATACAGGTTGGATGAATTGATTGTAAGGTGGATAGAAAACTGGATGGAGCATCAGGCTCAGACAGTAGCAATCAGTGGCTCCATGCCTAGTTGGCATCTGGTACCAAGTGGAGTGCCCCAGAGGTTGGTCCTGGGGCTGGTTTCATTCAATGTCTTCATCAACACCATGGAAGATAGCATAGAGTGCACCCTCAGCAAGTTTACAGTTGACACCAAACTGTGGAAAGTACTAGATGTGCTAGGAGGGTAGGGCCAAGATTCAGAGAGACCTGTGCACCCCCTATGTGTTGCCACTGCTGTGAGGTTCAGTAAGGACAAGTCCAAAGTCCTACACTTAGGATGGAACAATCCCATGCACCAATACAGGCTGGGGGCTGACAGGCTGGGAAGTAGCTCTGCAGAAGAGGAGCTAGGGGTTACAGTGGATAATAAGCTGAATATAAGCCAGCAGTATGCCCTTGGTGCCAAGAAGGTAATGGCCTACTGGGCTGCATTGGTAGGAGTGTTGCAAGTATTTCAAGGGAAGTAATTATTCCCCTCTGTTCAGCACTGGTGAGGCCACATCTAGACTACTGTGTTCAATTTTGAGCCCCCCACTACAGAAAGGATGTGGATATATTGGAGAGAGTCCAGCAGAGGGCAGCAAAAATGGTGAGGGGGCTGGGGGACATGACTTATGAGAAAAGACTGAGAGAACTGGGCTTATTTAGCTTAGAGAAGAGGACACTGATAGGGGACTTCATGGGAGCCTTCAACTACCTGAAGGGTGGTTCAAAAGAGGATGGAGCTAGACTGTTCTCAGTGATGACAGATGACAGAGCAAGGAGCAATGGTCTCAAGTTGAGGCAAGGGAAGTTTAGGTTGGATATTAGGAAGAATTTTGTCACTAGGAGGGTAATAAAACACTGGAACATATTACCCAGAGAAGTGGTGGAATCTCCATACTTGGAGGTTTTCAAGATCCAGCTAGACAATGCTTTGACTGGGATGATCTAGTTGGGAAGGACCCTGCTCTGAGCCGGGGGTTGGACTAGATGTGACCTCCTGAGGACCCCTCCAACCCTAACTTTCTATGATTCTATGATACCCTTAGAGAGTCTGGCCAAATGGAAGATTAGAACAAAGTGGTAGGTAGATGTCTGACAGGATGGGCTTCTATGCCCATCTTAAAATAAGAGTCTCTAGATAACTGTTGGTAGAAAAGTTTGAAGTTGTTCAACACTGAATGACTCATTGATTCTTTTGGGTGGGTAGACAGCCCTAGCCATTGAGATTTTTATATGAATTAGGACCTTTCTAGGAACAAAGGAATTGCCACATAGGATCAGATGCAAGATGCTTGCAGTACCAAATGCTTCAGAGAAAAGTGTAAGAACCCCAGGCTAGGCAGACACAAGATAAGAGATCTCATTCCATCTTTAATGATTAGCAACTGGTTCCAAGATTGATTTCTGGTTATGGAGCTCTAAAAATCTGTTTGTATTCTTGGATTTTATTAAGTCAGTCAAGTTACAGTCTGCTAGTCAGAATGGCTGCTTTGTGTGATTCATGTTTAGGAAGGTATTCTACCTTTAGAACAGTGTTCTGTACCCCTACTTAATAGGAGTCTGCACTGCTAAAACTGTCATGGGATGTAGTGAAGATGTGAGAATGGGGGGTGGGAGGGATGAAATTTTCTTTGAAGTATGAGATGCCAAAGAAAGAAAACCAGAGGGGAAGGCCCATTGACTGAAGACAATTGAGCTGACTTGTTTGACAACAAAGTTGTAAGATATACTGATGTTTTCTGCCAGCTGTCAAAGTGTTATTCTTAACTGCCAGATTGATGGAGAATTAATCCGTTTATATTTGAGACAATCTTAATAAATTTGATGGGGGCATTTTATTAGTGAGAAATGTCAGGGATAAAAATGCCAGGCCTAT